CTGGTCTGGAAGTTTAGTCATATCCCACTGTAATAACTATATATATTGTTTACTACACAGACAAAACAACACATACTGTGGTTCAAAAGGCGGGAAAAGTAGACGACTTTTTGGCAGTCGGAAACAGCCAGATGACATACTGTAAACCATTGTTAAAGCAGGAGTGTTCTGATAGAGTAAAGAGTGAGTGGCGTGTTTTGTTACCTAGGCGACGGACGTATTATTTCCTCTGTGTGCAGTTTTTAAGCAAATTATACAAAATATAATTTCATATACTCGTTCGTAGGGTGCAAATGGCTAGTGAATAGGCTTTTGAAAGTGCAGTTGGGCTAGAGAAATGAAAAATAATGACTACTACATCGATATATATACATCGTACTTCTCATGGCTGTTAAATTAAACGTGATATCGTACGAATAATACAATTTAGGGCCTAATTTTGGTATACAGACGCGATAAAATGTTCAATAATTGTTCATGCGGAGATTTATACTCGAAATTAATTAAGAAACAAGGCTTTGGTTCAAATATCTGTTTTAGTTGAAATAAATTTGTATACATTTCATGTTGAAAGACTGGAAAACATTAAGTTTAAAACTCAATTTTAAAAACACTAAAATGTACAGGTAATAAAGATGTTATAATAATTAAAGTATACGGTTAAGAATTCCTTTTTAACTACATTATGCTACTATGTTAAGAGCAAAAAATGTCGTTTTTGTTTTTTGCTCTTATTGTTCCTTAAATATATTTTAAAAAGGCCAATTCGGATTTCTTTAGTTGTGGTAATACGTTAGAAAGAATTTGAGTTATCGGGTTTCTGTAATTGTGTTCGTACGTTACAAAGTGCTCGGGTTTATGTAGTTGTGGTAATACGTCAGAAAGAATTTGAGTTATCGGGTTTCTGTAATTGTGTTCGTACGTTACAAAGTGCTCAGGTTTATGTAGTTGTGGTAATACGTCAGAGTGTACGGAGCTTTGCATTTTCTATTGTGTTCATACTTCCGGAAATGCTCAAATTATCGTATCATGAAGTTATAGAGTTTATGTGCTTGCTTATTTTTGTGCTTTTATGTCATATAATTCAAATTATGGGATCTAACTTGTTTTAAATCTGTCGAAAAACTTTATACGTTTTTACTAAAAAAATCAAACAAATAATATAAGAAAAATTTCGCAAAGCATGCATTCTTATTCAAGGAACATAAGAGAAAAACTATTTAATTGATCACAGTAGATTATACAAGAAGTTAG